CGCTGTAGTGTTTTCCATTTCATGCTACTTAATACTTCTACTCCATTTCAGAGGGAAATATTACCCGACATTTGTAAAGCGATTTTAGATTTTCAGATAAAGATTTTACATTTAAAAAATATGATAAGATGATTTAATACTGTGCAAAGAAGCAATGCCTAGTTTGGCAGATGTCTGAGCCATAAGCAGTGCACCAAAGACAAAGTTCCCCTCTAACAGTCAGAGATGGTTGAGGCCCAAAGAGGTCAAATTCATGTAAACATATATGTTTTTCCAAAAAAAGAACAAAGATTAAAGGAAATGTAAACAAAATTGTAGCAGTTTATCTTTTTAGAGGTTGGTCACCTAGACTTACATGACTGTATATAAAGTAGTTGAAATTAGCTCCACCTTGACCAGTTACAGCAGTATAATGCTACTTACACATCAGTAACAAAATAATAATGTAATGTAATAAATCGGGTGGAGTGATGAGCAAAAGTGAATTGTCTAAGGAGGCAGATTTGAGTCAAAATTGAGGTGAACATGACACAGAAACTGGCATGTCTTCATCTCTTGTTCCTCTCTTCACCAAACTAGGTTACGGTTAGAAGAATCAGATCAGTTAAAAAAAACATCTGGTTTCTTACCTAACTTAACAAAGCAAACGGAGACACAGGGAAGAACTCTGGGCTCCCCTGTCACCATGTGGCTCTGGGCCCTCTCTCTTTGTAGAATTAAATAATTAGGGCTGTCGCTTTAAAGCTGATGATTTGTCTGGTGATCTGACTCAGAGCCCACATTTCAGTCAGTTTCAAACATCAAATAGTATCTCTCTTCCCCCTGTAAAAGTACATGATAAAAGTTTCAGTGAGAGCAGAGGAGGAGCAGTAAACTCCACGCTCTGACTCATCTTGTTATCAGGCCGCATAGTTTGGTCTTGACTCAACGGTAGACTAATACCATGTAAAAGTCGAAAGTTTGGATAAACTTTGGAGGAACTTAAAAAGTGCATCGGTGTAACCAAAGCACTGGACAAATTAAAAAGTTGACCTGGTGATGGATATTTGAAAGAGGGATCAAAGTTTTTACAGTTCTGGGCACCAAGGATGTCCACATTTCATAATAAAAAATAAAGTAAATAAAGCCATACCAAAGCCAACATGAACAAGAAGTCCTTAACGTGCTCAGAATTATGTAACTTTGGACATCTACAATTACACAACAGTTGGACAAACTCGTCTGTTGATCATGTGATGCGATTGGAAGCTACAGAACAGTAAGCGAGTGGACTTCGTGGTGAGCTTGTTCTGTCAAACTCGTCTCATGCATCCTGCGGTCTGAGTGGTGCAGACGGCTCGATTGCACAATTGCAGCGAGGGCAACTGTGTGTGGAGGGTTCACAAATGCACCATCATATCCTCATGTAAATGTGAGCAAAATATATAGATATAGATTTTTTAAAAAGTACAAATATTGCAGTGCTTTAAAACATGTTGGATGCTGAACTTCCTGTTGCTGTGACAGCACTCTATCGGGATATGAATGCCCTTTTTTAAAAGGTATTTGCTTCATCATTACTGGACTGTGTCTGCGGAGCTGCTGACCCCAGTTGTCTGCAAAATTACAGCCACATTCAGAGCTGGTGCAAAACAGAATTATGGTTTGTTATGTCTGCCTTGCTGAGTCGGTCGAGGGGGGTTTAAAGAAAGACAATATACTGGTGTTTTTGTTGAGCGAACACTCTGAACCTCCAGTTGACCTGCAGCTGCCCCCTCCCCTCGCCATAGGGCTGAAAACAAACTTTGTCTTCGGAACCAAGTTCCCAAACACTGGATAACACATCTCCAAACCATCTCGGAACATGATAGACTGTAGGTTTAACATCAAAAACGTTGAGGTTAGAGGTGGGTTATTGCCTTTGCAGTTGTTGCTTTAGCTACCATCATCAGCTGGGAGAACTGTGACAGTGAAAGCCACTGACATATTCTGCTCTTCATGCTGAGATGCCCTTCAGCAAGGCGGTTGGATCCCGCCGCTCCAAGGTACAAATGTGTTTCTGTGTGACGAGATGATCTCAGGAAAAAAAAAAAACCTGGATTTAATTTAAAGTAGCATCAACCGAGGTTGTTGAACTACAGCTCCTCTCTCCTCTCACCGTGTGGTCCTTCTTTATAGTCGCACAGATAACATCGGAGACAAAGATGGCGGCGTGATTGCTTTGTTTTTGAAGCTCGGAGGGTTGATGCTGGAGTGCTGATGCGGCGAGGTGGCCCTGCATAATAAGTCAGGGAGAGAGGGGAGCCAGACTCCGGGGACTGTGATTAAGTCTCACCTACTCCAAAGAACAGCAAGCGCCATTACAGAAAAAAATTATTTCTCAATTTACTTTCCGGGCAAGGCTTTGAAAAGAGAGCCTGTTTCTGGGAGTGGTTCCAACGTAAACCTCCGAAAAAAAATGCAGATGCGCTGCTCCCTGCAGGAACTTAGAAAGTAATGCTTGTGTAAATAATGTCTGGAGCCGTGTCTTGTTTTCTAACGATTAGCTCTTCGCAAACAACTTGATATGCGACTGCTTTAGGTCTGTTTGTGTTCATGTTCTGTCATCCTGGTCAATAAGAATCTGTGGAAGAAAAATGAGGCGATGTGCGGTGGAGTGGGTTTAAGTGTTCTGACTTGAGGTCTGTCTCATGGCAGAAAATGATGATCAGTCTCTGTCTCTCTCCCTCCCTCTCTCTCTGTGTGTGTCTCTCTCTCTCTCTCTCTCTCTCTCTCTCTCTCTCTGTGTCTCTCTCTCTCTCTCTCTGTCTCTGTCTGTCTCTCTGTGTGACCACAAACTGGACCCTGACGCAAAATTAGTAGAGGCAAAAGTACTGTAGTCATGGTAGTAATCATACTTGTAGTAGCAGCAATAGAAGTAGTAGTTACAGATCGAGGGATAGCAGTATGTAGTTGTACTACTTGGCTACTTGTAGTTGCTGGGATAGCAGTTATAAAGATAGTAGTAGTTGTAATGATACTACTGCTATAGATGGAGGATTATTCTCAATTAGAAGTAATTGTAATCAGATTGTTTTGATGGAAGTGGTACAAGAGGTGTCAACAGTTGTAGAGCAGTAAAACAACAGTATAACAGTATACCAGTAGTGGCATTAGTTGTGATAATAGTGGTAGTTGCTGGTCAGATGAACACTCAAGGAATAGGCAAAGTGGTAACCAATAGTACTTACAGTATATACATAGTATTCGTTGTGCTTCAATGGTAGTAGCTGTTGTTGAAGCAGATGTTGTTGACAGTAGTTTAGTAGAAGTTGTAGTGAACAGTTCTTAATAGTATTACAGTATGGTAGTAGTGTAGTCCACTTTAATCTTAATCATTTATTACCTCCCGCCCCCAAAATGTGTAATTATATCACGTGATTTGAGCAAACTGTCCCTTTAAAGTGTTATTTCCAAGACCGTTAATACCATAAAAATACAGAACAATATGTTAAAGACAATATGTGCCGTGGTTACCAGAGCATGAAGGAGTTTATGCTAAAGCATTAACTGTGAGAGCAGAAATAGCCAACTAGCACCCTGGTTAGACCTACCACAATAAAAGCTTTTACGATCTGCGATACTTCATATGAAAAGAGAGGAAACCAAAAAGGTGATGGGGTCCTGCTCTGCTTTTGTATCTCACCCTGAAGTTTTTAATGTGTCACCTGATGTTTTTGATATTTTTGTGAATCTGTGGTGCGGCTCCTTCAGGGACAAAAGGGACACTTTTCTAATGCAGCCTCTCTGTGGCTCAAGCTGATGAATGTACAGTATACTCACACGAAAACCTCGGCTGGTGCAGCTTTAATTAGACAAGACTGTCACAGTTCACAGTACAGTGAAGGCTAATGTAGCATGTGTAGGTGTGATGTATTCTCAAGTATCTGCTCTCGTACAGTTGATCAGCGCACTATGAATAGACTCTGTGAAGTTCTGCGTTCATGTTCACCGCCTTTCTGACTCACATCAGCACCCATGCTGCACATCCGGGTGCAACGGTCTGGAATTTATGTAAAGAAAAAAAGGGGAAACGAATATTGAGACTTTTGTTTTACTCTTATCTTTCAAATTATTGTTACTTTGCACAGTCCATAACTTCAGGCATCCTTTTGGAGAATATGAAGCCAGCCAGCTCTGTGTGTGTGTGTGTGTGTGTGTGTGTGTGTGTGTGTGTGTGTGTGTGTGTGTGTGTGTGTGTGTCTGTGTGTGTGTGTGTGTGTGTGTGTGCGTGCGAATGCATATGTTGTTGTTGGTTTCGAACAATCTGACTGACACGTGCTGCGGTTTTGCATTTTCGGCAGGTTGCCTAACTAACATGACACAACAATGGCAAACCACCCACACGCTTCCTCTCCGAACAGTGTGTGTGTGTGTGTGTGTGTGTGTGTTCTGAAAGTACATTTAGTAATCTGTGTGCATTTCAGTTAGACTCACTAACTCTTAAGTCAAAACAATCATGTAGATGTTTGTGTTTCAGCCATTCTCGGTTTAAATCTGCCATTGAGACAATAGCTCATCTCTATTGAGTATTCTAATGGCACAAGCAGAGTTTAAATGTTTACCACAAAGTGAGCGGTTTCACAGGAGCAGTCTACTTGCTCAAGGACTCACTGTGCTGACAAATGAATAGAGATGGTTGCCATGTTGACTCGTGGCGACAAGGGAGTTTATGTCTCAGGTTTTGTTATTCTTTGCTGTGTACATTGCTCTGAAAACAAGCTCTACGGATGCACACACTCGTATTAAAGCCATCATGTGAGAGAGGAAGGGTCGTTTTTCGTCAACCGAGATTTGAAGGGATGCCGACGGTGCTTGATTGCGTCTCGTACCTTGATGCTTCACAGCCGTAATCAGAGCAGCGAATGCGCTCCGCTACATAATATGCATGCACACCTTGTGTGTGTGTGTGTGTGTGTTTGAAGGGAGACGGTTGTTTGGGCTGATTGCAGGTTGTAATGGACGTCTTGTTTTCTCCGCAGGGTTTGCAGGTGAAAGCAGATTATGTTCCCCTGCTGCAGTCCCTGGCCACGTATGGATGGAGGCTCACCTGTGTGCTGCCAACTCCTGTAATCAAGACCAACAGGTAATGACCCTCATCTGACCATTAAAGGGACATTAAGTAATCGGTCACCTCCAACGGGCCCCGTTGGCAAGCAGAAGGAATTGCAACAGCAGCAGCCACAAGCCTCTGTGCTACTTTTTAATTATGAACAAGCAATAAGTATTCAGAACACACAGCCGATCATGGTATTTATTAAACCCATTAGCTGCACCACTGATAATGTATGCGTCTCCTATGACCTAAGGTGTGAACACTTATGTACACATCTACTTTGCATTTTATGTAAGATAAATAGGATTCTAAAACAATGAAAGTTAAATTGAAGATAATGTGCTAAAATGGAATAAAGTAGAATGCAGTGAGACGTCTGAATATTTAGCCCTACCTCAAGGTTTTACTTGCGGAGTAAATCTACTTTATAATGTTCCAGCACTGCTCCTGAATCATTTAAAAACACACATTATCCCAAAAGTGCTTCAACGTTGAGCTTGAAACAAGACTTTTTTCTCAGTTCATAAAAAAAGTTGACATTTGGGAGTTTTGTCAAGATGACAATGAAGTAGCTATTTATTAGTAACAGCTCTGTCACTGCAGTGTTTGCAAAGAACACACACACACACACTTTGATTATTTTTTTTTTTGTTCTTTACCGTGAATAGAAATGGAAAATGTCACTAGTGCCATCTTTTAGTTTTGTTGCTGGGAGGCAACTCTGAAGTTCACTCAAAAACCTACAAAGTGTTTCTTAAGAAATGTGAAGCTGAGAAAAAAAAAGTTGGCGTACAACTTTAAATCCAAAGACATTAGAAACTTGCATCGGGCACTAGCGACTGTATATGCCTCAGTATTCCAGTGGAAACTGTATAAGTTGTAGCACGCACACCTTATCTGTTAAAGTTATTGTTCGAAGAACTAAGACGGCTTTTAGAAGAAATTGACCTAAATCTGTGCCAATTTGGGCTGAGCTTCATGCCGAGAAGCAGCTGTGAAAGTGTAAAAGCAGCAGCTCTGACTGTTGGTGGAAAATCTCCTCACTGAAATGCAACGGTTCCTCTGCTAAGCCTGTGCTGACTCATCACTCGTGCCTTCTATATGAGTGCACATCCGCTTATGGTCAAAGGCCTCGCACGTTTCTTCAGGCGCCCCAAGGAGCTTCAATTCAAGACGCAATTTGTCCTTCAGCATGCTGATGATGTACCGCACCAGTCAAATATGTCTCTGCACTACGGTAGAGTCTCTTCAAACCAGTCTTAGAAACCACTCGTACTACTGGTGTTTAAGAAAAATAGGATACAAACAAAAAGCCTTCACAATAACCATAACAAGAAGCATTAGTAAAGTGAAGGAGCTGTATTCACTAAGTACAGCTGGCTGTCCCACGTTCCAGTACAAGATCAACATATGCTACAAAGTCCTCACGGTCAAAGCAAACAGTTAGCCAAATTAGCAATATTAACATATAGTAAGCTATAGTGCACTGCCATTCTACGTATCTAACCATCATTTTGAATTAAAAGATAGGGCCACATTTTATTCATTCAATACACACATGTTCTTTGAAAGGGTAATGTGTCACTGTAATGGTTCCAGTTTCCTATGATGGACACAAAGTACAGTAAAAGCAATTTCAGAGTGCTGTGATGGGAGGCAACATCCTCAGTCCTTGATGTGTAGAAAAATGTCCGCTGGATCGGTCACATTAGTTCCATATAGCCACTTTCAAGCCCCTCTGCTGCAGCAAGGAAACAATGTCCAGAAATGCAGGAGATGGAATAACATACTAAACATTTTTTACTTTGGAGGATCCCCACCTGAATTGTCAAACTTTGCAAAAAACAAGGACAAGAGAAGGATCCTTTGAGGCCAGTACAGAGGGGAGGATTGATCTCAGGCATGTTAGCCTCATTTTAAGATGGGCTTGAGAAATGTAAAACTATTCTCCAA